CACACACACACACACACACACACACACACACACACACCCATGAGAATAAAGGTTCAAAGGTTACTGAACTCTACCACCAAACAAATTTTCTAGGTTTCCCTTCCATCTACTGTGGTGCTACTCATGTCCCTAGCTACTCTCACAAAAAAGACTGCCCCTCTCAGTTTTGTGAACTTGACTCTCAACTCACCTGTCAGCTTCATGACTGGCCACTGATCTGTGGAGGCTGGTTCTCCTTAGATTGTTCTCTTTCTAGCATTGCTTTTCTAGCAGCATTTCTGACTGCATCCCAGCTACCCACTCCCATCACTATTCTGGAGTATTAGGCCCCTGATTGGGGGCAAAGGTACAAGGCTTCTCCAGTTCATGGTCTATGACTGATCTTACAAACGTAACTTAATAGATTTAAAACAGACTTATAAAAAGAGTACATTTCATTAAAAATGCAATCAAATAGCAATCGTTATCCATTAACCAAGGTAATAGGTATTTTCTTACCATAATTTTGGAAACAAAAACAGGGCCTTCATTATTATTTTTAAATGAAAACATGTAAGAGAGTAGAAGGATAAGAACAGTACCATTACTCCGGTTGTTGCTGTTATTTTACATCAACAATTGCTAATGCTATTGTGAGTTCTTACCAGAGGCTACCATTAACAGAAGAAGGTGTGTAAAGGTGAATTCTGTCACTTGTCATTTGCTGACTCAGAGATAATATAAGAGCAGTAAAGTACACTGAGAAAAAGACAAATGAAATTACTAATGTATTTTTAACAACCCAGTTTATTTTGAATTTATAGATTACTTTAAGGTCAAAACTCTATACTTTGAGGAATGATGACATAAAAGAAATTCATTTGATCAATTTCAATAGGCTGGCTAACCTTATTTTAATTTTCAAGAATATAGATGCAGAAGGGTATTTTGAGATGCTCATTATTTCATCATTAGAAATTGTAAGAACCTAAAGGTCTCTTAAGAAATTAAATTACTTACTCAAGGTCTTAAAACTAGTTTTATTAATACTCTCATAATGTAGAACAAAATGTATTCCAAATTATCAAAAAGATATAAAATAGTATTTGTTACTGAAATGCCATGCCAGCTGAATCTGTTTAATATCAAGTAGAAAATACAAAACTGAAACATTACAAAATATAAGACAAATCAAGCTTTTAAAAGCTATCTAGATCAACCTGTACTGGAAAACAATTCTATCAAAATTATGCCTATCATATTTTTTTAATTGCAAATTCCACTGGACATCTATAAGTAATGTTTATAAGTAGCAATAACATAAAATCTTTCTAAAAGTAAAATTAAACTTTTCTTGGTTCAAAATTACAGTGTAATTCAAGTATTACACAATTATCAAATTAAACTATTTACTCACAGAAAGATGCTAAAGCTGTAGGATCCAGGGCAAGAAAATTTCGGATTGCTACTGATGTTTTAGCAAAGTCGATCCTAGAAAATACAAAATCCGCTTGTCACAGTGCATTCGTAAACCTCTCACAAAACTGTACTCTCTTGACTATCATTTTTTTCCTTCTCTATTCTAATGCTACCACATACATTGTCTATTATTAAGCTTTAAGTGGCTACAGTTTATATAAACACACATGAAAGAATATCTTATTTACAAAAGCCACATAAAACATTTAACTAGATTAATATTTAATCAATATTCTTTTGGAGTTAAGACATTCTTAACAAATTAAATTAAAAATGAACTGCAAAATTTCATTAGATTCTACCTCTTTGTATTACCCATATCATTAGGCTTTAAGTTGTTGTTTTTCTTAAAGAGTTGAATTGTGTTCTCAAAGACATGTTGAACTTCTAGCCCCTTCCCCCTTTTCCTGTGAACATGACCTTATTTGGAAATAGGGTCTTTACAGATGTAATCAAGTTAATATGAGGCCATTAGAATGGGTCCAATACAACTGGTGTCCTTAGAAGGAGAGAAGGGAAGACCATCACGTGACAAAAAAAGCAGAAGTTGGAGTGATGTGCCTACAAACCAAGGAACTCCAAGGATTGCCAGCAACTACTGGAAGCTAAGGAAAGACGTGGAAGAGACTCTTGATCCAGCCCTCCAGAAAGGAACCAACCTGGCCAACACCTTGATTTCAGAATTCTAGCCTCCCAAACTGAGAGGGAATAAATCCCTGTTGCTTTAAGCCACCCAGTTTGTAATACAATTGATCCTTGAATAACACAGGGTTGAACCGCATAGGTCCGATTACACGCAGCTTTTTTTCAATAAATATAGTGCAGTACTATAAATGTATTTTCCTTATGAGTTAATTAATAACTTTTGTTTTTTTTCTGGCTTAATTTTTTAGAAGAATACAGTATGTAATACATATAACATACAAAATATGTGGTAATCAACTATTTATGTTATTGGTGAGGCTTCTGGTCAACAGTAGGTTATTAGTTAAGTTCTCCGAGGGAGTCAAGACTTATATATCAATTTTTGACTTGCAAGGGGTCAGTACACCCAACCCCTGAGATTTTCAAGGGGCAACTGTACTTTGTTACAGGAAACCTAGGAAACTCATACAATACCCAGAGTCTCACCTATACCTGATTCAGATGATTTGGAAGATGATATTTGGAACTGTTTTCATTGACTATATTTGGAAGAAATTTTAAATTCAGAGTTGATGCTGGAATGGGTTTAGATTTGGGAGATGCTTTTGTTGAGAGTATTCCCATCCCCTCCTGCCCCCCCAAAATGGAAACAGACTGGCTTTTAAAAAGAAAGTCAAATTAATATTAATTCTCTTTTGAAAACTGTCATAGGGACAATGCTCAACATTTCTGAAGAAAAGTTAGAGGGATGTGCAGTCACAATAATCTTACCTGTCAAAAGTTGAAACTGTACTTAGAGCCAAAAGCAAGTAGAGAAGACTCTGGAATGGATATGCTAAGGTCTTATACTGTTGCAGAAGGTTTGAGAGGTTAGAAAGCTGATCTCCTGCCAGAATATATATGAAAACAATATTCCACACAGCACAGCCAGCCAAGAAGCCATGGGAAAAGAGACCAATCATCCTGAATGGAAAAGGGTTTAATTATTACACACGCATTACTAAAGTAGAAAGCTAAAATATTTTTTAAATCTCTTCACATGTAAGAATAAAACTCAACATTTCAAAAAACTAAAACTAAGCTTTTTCTTTTTATCACACTGATAGGCAGATGATTTAACTCCAATTAAATATTTTAAAAAATATACCTATTTACTATTTTAAGTTGTCAATTTTGTTCACAGTATAGAACAATCAAGACTTATTTTAAAAAAAATTATGGAACATCTGTTTTAAGAAAAGTCCAATAAAAGCAGTCACCTGAAAGCCCGGTGCACTGAGAGTGCAACATCTCTGGTAGTCCAGGAAAGCTTCACGTCCATTGACACCTCTATGTTTTCTGTGGTCTTTATCAACTCTGAACGATCAGCAGCCTGGAATCTCCCTAAGAACACATTACACACTTGTCAACAACTAGTAACATTGAACCCTGGCAGGCTGTTTACATTATTTCACACTGTAAGAACCCTCAGACTGAGATTTTGTGGTTTTTCTATCTAAAAACTCTCCCTGATCCAGTCCCGATTTCAGAAGGCTCTTCTCTTTTGGTTGCTTAAATATACTATTTTTTTATCTTTAAGAAAAATAAACAAAGTCCATATATTTCCTTCTCAACCCAAAATAGATGTTAAAGTAACAGTTTTGGAAATCAATTACATTTAATGAAATAATGAACTTTCCACCCAGAACAAAGTCTAGAAACCTTTAACATGACATAATCCAAAATATTCTAATTTTGAGATGTTAGTTTATTAAAGTTCAAATGCCAACACTATAAAGCTAAGTCAATGTTTGAAAACACTTCAAATTTCTTAGGAAAAAATGCCAGTGTGTGTAGCATGGCATTCTGTGATGACAGAGTGGAAAGGGGTTGTTTTATAAACATAAAATTCCTGTGACAAGTATCCGTTCAAGTGTCAGCACCACAACACTGTGTGAGCAGAGCATTATTCTTTTACTGTTGACAAGGCTCCTTCTTGTGGATCTACCAATCCACAAACAGACCTCAGGAAGCAGGAAAGGTTCCATTTCATTATCTTTGCCAAATCTGGCTGTCAAGTATTTGGGAGGATGAAAGACAGAGGTGCAAGACCTAATTTTCCCTCAGAAAAGACAACTTCTGGGCAAGCAACTGGTGTCTTTTATGGTCAGTTATTCTAGGAGGGAAGTTTCTGTGCTAAGGGAAACAAGAATAAAAATGAGGATTCAGTGACATTGCTTAAAAACAGACTATAAAAAATAGATATTGCTTAAAAGTGAGGATTGAGCGATATTGCTTAAAAACAGAAGTAAATTAAAAACCAACATAGTATACTAGTAAAAATGCTTGACTAGAATAGTCATATAACCTCAGTTCAAGTCCCAGTTCTGCACTAATCTACTTCGAGACCCTGTCTAAGTCAGCCTCTCGGGATCACAAGTCTCTCACTGGCTAAGAACTCCAAGATGCCTCACATGGGATCTTATAGAATACAAATTCTAAAATAATTTACATAAAATCTAAATTATAAATTTTAATACCAATGTTTATTTTTCATTTGAGTTCTTTAAGCAGCATATTCATAGCATATTCATGGGATATGTGTGGTCATGATCATGCTTTCCATATGTTTTTCTTAAACACTGCAAATGGAGTTTTATAATCAATGTCAGAAAGAATATGGAGCTACAACACTGTATTTCTTATTTAATATGGTAATACCATCATGTATTTTCTCTCATTTATTTGTAATTATAAAAATCATATCATTATCTGCCCTACCACCAGCACCACCATCATTATTGAAAATTGGTAAAGTACAACAAAAAATAAAGAAATGGGTAAAAGTGGGTGGGAGATTTTCAAAGTTACCCACAATCCCATAACCCAGAAACAACCAACATTAATATTTTGGCATATTTCCTTCTAGTCTTTTGTCCTATACATTTTTCTACAGTTGAGCTCAAACTACATATGTGTGTGTATGTTTATTTTTCATTAAATCTTTCCACGAATTGGGGCGCCTGTGGCTCCGTCAGTTAAGCATCGGACTTCGGCTCAGGTCATGATCTCGTGGTTCACGAGTTTGTGTCCCACATTGGGCTCTGTGCTGACAGCTCAGAGTCTGGAGCCTGCTTCAGATTCTGTGTCTCCCTCTCTCTCTCTGCCCCTCCCCCACTCATGCTCTGTCTCTCTTTGTCTCTCTCTCACTCTCAAAAATAAAAACATTAAAAAAATTTTAAATCTTTCCATGAAATTAAAAATTCTCTGTAAACACTATTTTTAATGGTATGGAAGATTTTATTATACAGACACACCATAACTGACTGAAATCATGCCCCTTCCATTTTATATTTATATTGTTTGCAGTTTTTCAATCTCAAGAATAACAGTATGATGGTTAGCTTTGTTTATAAATTTTTGTTCATATTTTTATTTCCTTAATTCAGATTTCCAGAAATATAATTCCTAGGCAAAAGGATATCCTTGTATCATTCCTAAAAAGCTCATATTCAAACACAAGGAAGTACTTACGGCTTTTTTCCACAAACACTTTGCCTACAGGCTGGCTAATGCCAGTGGGCACAGTGAATCTAGACTGTTGTTCTGGACTGCTTTGCTCATCAGTAATTATGTCTTCATCTTCTACTCCTAGTTCATTGGCATACTGTAATTCTGCTGGCTGGGTTTTCCTGTAATCAGGAAGAATGTAAGAAAAATGGATTATTACTGTATTTTTACAGACACACATAAGGAGGTACCTGTAAAAGAGCTCTAGACTTGGGAATCGAGAAATTTGGTTTTACTCAAATGGATTATTAACTGTTATGTGCAGCAAGTCACATATATTTATGTGGGCCTCAGTTTTCTCATCTGGAAAATGAAGTGACTGAACTAGATTTGTAAGGTTCTTTCCAAACTAAAAATGATAGGATTGTATACAAATATTGATCACTATTTATTGGGTAATTTCCAAAAACAAACAATAGTGTTATATAACTTCTTTAAAGTATCCCATTCTGTTTTATCCGAGACTTAATTTCCTATGCTAAAATACACATTTTTTTATTGCTGAAATAATCACAATTTGAATTCTATTAACATGAGAAAATATATCACAATAGCCCATTTTATTAATATTACCTTCAAATTTCAGTATGTTTAGTATCTAACTTTTTGCTATTCATATAATATCTTCTATTGATGTTCATCTTTTTTAGAGATAGCTCCTAAATTTTTAATTTAAGTATAGTATTTTACATTTGCAGTTGTTTACTCTTTTCAAATCTATCATTAGGTTGGTTTAACTGATATTTTTGTAATCTTAATTACCGTATTTAATATGACTTAATTCAAACCTACAACTTGAGAACTCTGAATTAAGTAGCATAGTGTCCCTGAAGAATATTTAGAAGGACACATAATTCTTACTTTGTCTTCCTTCGAGGTTTCTGAATAACCACCTCCTCAGTTGGCTCCATATGAATACCATTTTCATTTCGTAATAAAGATGCATTGGATGCCTTCTTTTGGGCAAAGGAAGTCTCCAATTCTGAAAATAAAGTATATTAAATTTTCAAGTTACTACAACATAGAAAGAAAAGTAACGTATAAAACTTATAAGACAAGAAAACTTTAAAAATTCTAATTAGAGTAGAACAGATCAATGAAACCAAAAGCTGGTTCTTTGAAAGAATTAACAAAATTGATAAACCACTAGCCAGTTTGATCAAAAGGAAAAAGGAAAGGACTCAAATAAATAAAATCAAGAATGAAAGAGGAGAGATCACAACCAGCACAGCAGAAATAAAAACAATAATAAGAGAATATCATGAGCAATTATATACCAATAAAATGGGCAATCTAGAAGAAATGGAAAAATTCCTAAAAATATATACACTGCCATAACTGAAACAGGAAGAAATGGAAAATTTGACCAGACGCATAACCAGTAAGGAAATCGAATTAGTAATCAAAAATCTGCCAAAACACAAGAGTCCAGGGCCAGATGGCTTTCCAGGGGAATTCTACCAAACATTTAAGGAAGAGTTAACACCTACTCTCTTGAAGGCGTTCCAAAAAATAGAAATGGAAGGAAAACTTCCAAACTCTTTCTATGAAGCCAGCATTACCTTGATTCCAAAACCAGAGACCCCACTAAAAAGGGGGTGATCATGACCACCAATTTCCTTGATGAACATGGATGCAAAAATCCTCAACAATACATTAGCCAACCAGATCCAACAACATTAAAAAAATTATTCACCACAACCAAATGAGATTTATACCTGGGATGCAGGGCTGGTTCAATATCCACAAAACAATTAACATGATTTATCACATCAATAAAAGAAAGGACAAGAACCATATGATCCTCTCAGTAGATGCAGAGAAAGCATTTGACAAAATACAGCATCCTTTCTTGATAAAAACCCTCAAGAAAGGAGGGATAGAAGGATCATACCTCAAGATCATAAAAGCCATATATGAAAGACCCAAACGCTAATATCATCCTCAAGGGGGAAAAACTGAGAGCTTTCCCCCTAAGGTCAGGAACAAGACAGGGATGTCCACTCTCACCACTGTTATTCAACATAGTATTGGAAGTCTTAGCCTCTGCAATCAGACAACACAAAGAAATAAAAGGCATCCAAATCGGCCAGGAGG